TTGGTAAGCAGGCATTTTAAGTTTTGATGAGGTTTGTGTTATTTATATTTCTTTTGTGGTTAGTGCTTTTTATGTCTTAAGGACATAAAAGTATTTTGTGTTTTCCTCTAAGAGTTAAGATTTTGCTTTCCTATTGAGGATGGTATAATATAGTGCTTGAGGTTTACTATTTTCCATATTTTTGAAAAGCTGTTGAAAATAGATTGACTTGGCGCCTTGGTAGAAAATGAGTTGACTGTATTATATGTATGGGTCTATTTCTGGACGCTCTTCTATTTCACTATCTTTATTTTTCTTATGCCCACTCTATACTCTTGATTACTAAGGCTTTTTCAGTGAGTCTTGAAATAAGGTGGTATAAGTCCTCAAAAATCCTTTTTCTTTTTTCAAGATTGGTTTTATTATTCTAGATCTCTTTTGTTCCATAGGAATTTTAGCATCAGCATATCAGTTTCTTTTTAAAAAATCCTGCTGGGATTTCAACAGGGATTACATTTATATATCAAACTGGGAAGAATGGACATTTAAATAATATTGAGTCTTCCAGTCTATGAACATGGTCTCTCTTCATTTCAGTCTTCTTTCATTTACCTTAGCAATATTTTGCAGTTCTTAGTATAGAGGTCTTGAGTATCTTTCTTTAGATTGACCTATAGGTTTTTTGTTGTTGTTGTTGCAGTTATAACTGGCATTTCTTTAAATTTCATTTTCCATTTGTTCTTTGCTTGTATGTAGAGATACACTTAATTTTGTATGTTGACCTTCTATCATGAAACCTTGCTAAATTCACTTCCTAATTTTACTAGTGTTTTTGTAGGTTCTGTGCAGTTTCCAATGAAGACAGTCATATCACCAGAGAATATACTTATTTCTTTCCAATCTTTATGCCTTTTATTTCTTTCTTGCCTTATTGTGCTGGCTGGAACATTCAGTGCATTATTGAATAGAAGTAGTGACAGTGGACATCCTTGTCGTATCCTCAGTTATAAGGGAAAGGGACTCAATGTTTCATCATTAGATATGTTGCTAGCTTTAGGTTTTTCATAGATGTCGTTTTCCAGAATGAAGAACTTCTTCCCCTTTTCTATTTCTAGTTCTCTGAGGGTTTTTAATCATGGATAGATATTAAATTAACATTGTCAAATGCCTCTTTTTTCCCCCCTGCATCAGTTAAGAGAATCATAAGGATTTTTCTCCTGTATACTGTAAATGAGGTGCTTGATTTTTTTTTTTTTTTTTTTTTTAACTGTTAAACCAGTTTTGCTCCTTGGGATAAACCCCACTTGGTGATGATTACTTTTTCTATATATGTTACTGGGTGTGATTTGCTAATATTTTGTTAAGGATTTTTCCTTCTAGTAGTAGCAGACCTTTGCTTTTTGTATTAGTGCAGGATCTTGGGCCAAAGACAGTTTCTTGCTCCTGGCCCATTGTCATATCGATAGCTTTGCTTTCTATTCATTCCTTAGCATCAGGGTATGTTTGTCTGCCACTGGTGGTGGCAGTGTTTCCTGTCTTCCTCTAGGGGTAGACTGTGGTTATGTTACATGGTGAAAGGCTTGTTTGTATGTGGGAGGTGGGCAGATAGGTTCTGCTCCCCCCCACCCTCTCAAATAGTACACAGCTTTTGCTTTACTCTTCCCTTTCAGGCAGGGAAACTTTCCTTGGGCCCTGGGTGTGGGAGGCTTTCCTGCATCTCCCCTCCTGGTTGAAGGCTTTTGCTTCATGTTAGGTGCCACTTAAAGGGGAGGAGCTCTCTCCCTTCTCTTGCCCCATGCCATTCTTTTTCAAGAGAACTCAGTTGAGAGCCTTTGAAAAGAGCTTGTGAATGAGTGCAGATTCCCCTTTTGTCTGGGTTTTCACTGCCATCCTAGGTGACACTCAGCCATTATCTTTATTTTTATCTTTAATATTCAGCAGCTTGACTACTGTATGTTTCCTTTCCATCTGTGGGTTGATATCTGCCATCATTTTTGAAATGTTTTTGGCCATTATCTCTTCTTAAGCTTTTTCTGCCCCATTCTCTCTTTTCATCTCCTTCTGGGACCCCAATTACACTCCACTTAAACCCCAATTGACATTTGGTCTTGGATGTTCTGGGATTTTTTCCACACTTTTTTTTTTTTCTCTTCATGTTTCAATCTGGGCATTTTAATTTGGCCTGTCTTCAAATTCACAGCTTATTTCTGTCTGTTTTTAAATCCATCTAAAGAAATCTTTAATTTCTGATATTGTATTTTTCATTTTTAATGTTTCCCTGTGATCTTTTTTTTATAGCTTCAATGTCTGTGATTAAATTCTCCATTTCATTATTCATGTTGTCTATCTCTTCCATCAGTTTTCATCATGGTTATTTTAAAGTATGTCTGATAATCCCCAAATCTAGGCCCTCTCTGATCTGATTATATTAATATTTTCATCTTTTGACTTTGGTTTGCTGCTCTCTCTGTCTTGTAATTTTTGATTGAATGCTGAATGTTTGTGTAAAATCAGTACAGGTTGAAGTATATATTATCTACTTCCCCAAAATGGCTCATCATTTCTTGTGGGGCTAAGTCAACAAGATGTGTGCATAGTCAGCTAGTTCTGGGCTTATTTGTAACTTTATTTTGATTAGTTCAAGTGTCTTGAGAGTAGGATTAAGACTTTACTTTCTGTAAGATTTGTTGTCTTAGTGTAATTTCAGTTATCTCTTTATGCTTTGTATCTGAGCCATCAGCTTTCTGAACCGTGGTGACTTCTCTGCTTTACAGCCTAGCTGCTGGTTTCCTGGTCATTCTGGAGTGAGTTCTTTTTGCTCTCTAGTCTTACCCCAGGCTTTTGTGCCTAGTGAGATCTCTCGGTACGAGTAATACCTTCCAGTGCTTTCTCTCAGCAGTCCTTTCCTACCCCAGCCTTGGTAGTTCAATTTCCAGAGTATCTGCATGGAAGTTTCTGTCTCAGCTGTCTTGTCCCACCTCAGCCCTTGGCAGCTGAATGTCTGGAGTCTCTTGGATTGATTTCTCTCACATCTCACCACCGCCCCTCCCACTCCCCCCCCACCCCCGCCACCTCCCCAGGGCATTTGAGGAAGACCCTAAGCTTCTTAGCGTATCTCTTAGCTTTCCTGCCCTGTCTTCCAACCTTTGCCATATTTTGGCCAACTCTTGGTGCAGACCTGTGGGATTGAGCGGTTGAGTGGTGCAGACTTGCTCTGTGGAATCCTTGGAATTCTAATATGTCTTGTCAGCCTACATGTTACTGTTAAAATGTACTAAAATTTAGGCTGACTTCTCCTTACCTTCACTGTGGTGGGATTATTCCTCCTTAGCCACTCTACCAGGAAAGAGACCATCTGTGGGCCCCTCTTCTATCAAGACTCAACACTTTCTGGAATTTAGTTTCACTTAGGTTACTTTGTATCTTAAACTTTCTGTTGGGTTCAGAAAAACCATGATTTTATAGCTTTTCTGCCTTGTTTTGATTGTTAGGGTGAAAGTGATGGTCTATTGTGACTCTGTATCTCCTGATTAGAAGTGGAACTCCTTCATGGAATACTTTCTGATATATAATCTGGCAAATACCTGATAAAGTTTGTTGTTTCACTTCACCCTAGTTGATTTTCTACCGTATTTCTCAGAGCCAGGTTTCAAAATGTTTTCCATTCTTCTCAAATCTGAACTCTCCAGTTCTGTCCTCAAGTGGTAAATTATCTTATCTCTTACTTTGAGATTAAAGCCATTGACATTAAATTTTAATTGGGCTGGTGGAAAGTGTGGGAAGAATTTGTAGTAGGTGCTTAGAAAACTAGGCAAATGAAAAACTAACATAATTAGCTCTGGGGAAAGGAAAGAGTTGTACAAAAAAGGAAACATGATTATACAGTAGTAGTTATACAGTAGTAGTTAACTACTAATCTCATCAGGTACAAAACTACCTGGGAGATAATTATTTTTAAGCTTGGAGGAAAGCAAGTGGTCGTGGTGTAAATCCTCATTTTCTGTAGAAAAATCGCTAGGTATATCTAAACTTGCTATTTCAAGGGATACCATTACTGAGGTATAAATAGCAAGAATAAAAGTTAAAAGGTTCTCTTGGTGTGAGAAGAGGAGCTATATTTGACTTTACTCACTATGCATGTTGTTACTTAGATATAAATGAAAATATTTTTTAAAAGAGGCTTAATTAAAAATCTTCTCAAGGGGTGGTAAAAGTGAACCAAATCTTTTTTTCACACTCTCTTTACCTTTATTTCTTTATTTTTATATTTTTTAACTCTGTGCTTTTTCTTTGGCTGCTTTGGGTCTTCGTTGCGGTGTACGGGCTTCTCAGTACGGTGGCTTCTCTTGTTGCGGAGCACGGGCTCTAGGTGCGCAAGCTTCAGTAGTTGTGGCGCACGGGTTTAGCATGTGGGATCTTCCCAGACCAGGGCTCGAACCCGTGTTCCCTGCATTTGCAGGCGGATTCTTAACCACTGTGCCACTGGGGAAGTCCCTGTCTTTATTCTTCTTGTTTACTTCACACTTCATGCCTTTTCCCTTGTTATAACTTTACATTTTACTTTATGATACTTGGTTATGAAAGTTTAAAACTTTGGGGATATTGAGCTTGTAAATTTTTAAAAATATTTTTGTTACGTGTTTTGAGAATAGATTGAAATTCTAAAAAGTGAGGAAAACTTTCTTTTGGTGAAGATACTTTATTGATACTAAGTTAAAAATAAAGTAGTATGGGTAGTGATAAACTTGTCCAGTGTTGATAAAGATAAAAGATTTTACTTGCAAAATTATTATATTTGTCCACTTATAACACTGTCTTGTTTTTAGAAGGATTTGTTTCCACAGTTCATTTAAATTAGTAAAGTCATTTTCAGGGGTGAAAAAGATAACTTCTGAATGTCTGTTGTGAAAGAAATAATTTGAATTTCTATTGCATTCTGTAATTTGCTTTTGATACTGTGTTGAAACTAGTAGTTGATTGTAAAGTTAGCTTCTAAATTATCCTTTCCATATCTTTTCTAGGTTAGATTAAGGAGGATATTTTCTTAGAGTGGATCGCTGCCTTTGGTAAGAACATGTCGTCCATCTTGCCATTCACTCCACCAGTTGTGAAGAGACTGCTGGGATGGAAGAAATCAGCGGGTGGATCTGGAGGAGCAGGTGGTGGAGAGCAGAATGGACAGGAAGAAAAGTGGTGTGAGAAAGCAGTTAAAAGTTTGGTGAAGAAGCTAAAGAAAACAGGACGATTAGATGAGCTTGAGAAAGCCATCACCACTCAAAATTGTAATACTAAATGTGTTACCATACCAAGGTAAGTGTTGTTAGATCAGAAATTTGATGGCCATACTGTTGAAAATTGCTTAAAGGAATCTGAAGGGAAGTTATTGAAATTTTGTTACTTTCAAGTGACCTGTCAATAGTGATTATTAAAATATGACAGCTATTTTTAACCTGTCGTATTAATTTTGTTTAACTCGTTAAGACTTGTTTATTTTACAAAGCATTTTCTTGAACAGTGAGAAGGTTTAATCAAGCAAAATAAAATACTTAGATTGTATTTTTATCTTCACTGTCTTCATTTACCTTCATTGCCTAAATGTTTCATTGTATGTTATCCTAATTTCTGTGATTGAATGACTTTTGAATAAAGATTCAAAGATTTTTCTATCACTAGTGCAGTAGTGACTGACAGTTTTCTCCTCCCTTGGTCAAAACTTCAGTAAGGAGTGAACAGAGGCTGCTAACATTGTGATGAATTTTATATAGTTTTTGCTTGAGTTGCAGCACTACTTCTAACAAAGAACAGTATGTGAGACAGCTTCCTAGGTGTCATAGGTGGTCAGAACCTGTCTTGAAGACCTACCTCTTGTATTAGAAGGACCTATTACTTAAGAGGTTCAAGTTTTATTAGTGTAAATTTAATCATTTACAGATCAGTGCCACTGTCAGAAATACTGTTTTTTAACATAAAGTAGCAAGTGGTTTTTAAGTGTTTTAATGTGTACTACTATAGTTGCGCACATTACAGGGTTTGCGGGAGTGTCAGTTTATAGCATTTTCTAAAAATGATTGTTTTCAGTGTCATACACATAGGCTAGCATATGGCACGTAAAACCATTGTACTTGACACGTTTCTAATGAGTTTTGGGAAATACACTCTGGGTGCTTGTTGATAATAGATCCTAATAACACCAGCCTGTCTGCTTGCAAATAACTAGGAGTAGAATGTTTCCTCCCTTGTTTGGTAGGTTAATTATCCATTTCTTTTACCTCACTTGTTTCATGTATTTCTCAAATAAGAGTCACTTTTCCTGGTATATCCTTTCGTTTTAGAAATGTTTATGAATGCCTGCTGTGTACAAGGCACTGGTTTTAGGCACATGGGATAGATACAGTATGAACAAAACTCAAAGTTCCTGCCCTCCTCAGGGATAGATGTACACAGTAAACAAGTGGACAGATTAATCTAATTGGAGATGGTAATGAGTACAAAGAAAACAACAACTGAGGGGTGAAACTGCTTTGGATTGGATTGTGACACTTAATCTGAGCTTTGAGAAGTAGCAGCTAGCTGAGGGAGGTCTTCTAGGCAGAGGAAGGAGTGCGTGTAAAGATGCCAAGTCAGGACATAGCTTATTGTATTGGAGGACTTACTGTATTGCAGTAGAGATGGAGTGATACAAAATGAGTACAAAACTTGGAAAGGGTCAGATCATAGAGGGCATCGTAGGAGAGTTTGAATTTTAGTGTCAATGTAATAGAAAGCAAATAAAGATTTTTAAGTGGATTTTCAGATTTTAATCCTTTTTTTTTTTTTCCTCGGTACGCGGGCCTCTTACTGTTGTGGCCTCTCCCATTGCGGAGCACAGGCTCCGGACTTGCAGGCTCAGTGGCCATGGCTCACGGGCCCAGCCGCTCTGCGGCATGTGGGATCTTCCCGGATCGGGGCACGAACCCGTGTCCCCTGCATCAGCAGGCGGACTCTCAACCACTGCGCCACCAGGGAAGCCCTTAATCCATTTTTAAAGAATTTTTTACATTTATATTTTTACAAAGATCATTCTGGCTGCCGGACACACGTGGTTGGAGCTGGGGGTGGGTAGTGGTGTAGTGGTGTGTGTGTGCATGTGTGTGTGTAGTAGACTGGTGTGGTATAGTGGTCTGCAAGCGGGGAAATCAGGAGGCTATTGAAGCAGTCCAAAATAGAGATGCCAGAGGTTGGGCTGGCATGGAGGCTGTGCTGCCACCAGAAGTGGATGGATTTGGTTGGAAGTTGAACTGACAGGACTTGCTAATGAATTGGTTAAGAATAAGTCAAGTTTTTTGTGTTCATTTTTTATTGTGTAGTGCCTGGTATTTCAGTTCAGTAAACATTTATAAACATACAGTCTTTGCTCTTGAGTTGCTTACTTCCTAGTAAGGGAGGTAAACTTTAAAAAATAAGAAAGATAATTTCATAATGTGCAGGAGGTGTTCTGAAAGATGTATGCTTAGGGAGCTGTGTCCAAAGTGGGCACCCTTCCCTGCTCTGCGGCTTGTGGAAAGTTTCCTCCTGGAGAAAGATTGGTGCCTGAGTTGGGTGGAGGTAAAGGAGGAATTTAGTCAGGAGAAGCTCCATTCATCCAGAGTGGCCCTGGGGTGTTGAGAGGACTGGTGATGGGGTCCTGGGAGTGTCAGGTGGGAGGTGGGATATGGCAGGACCCAGAGGCTGTGTGGTAGGGAGGAAGCACCACATCCTGCGCGCTGGGGGGTTCACACTGAACATGAGTGTGACTGGGTGATGGGGGAGTTGGCGAAGAGTCTTAGGTAAAGAAGTGAGGAAAATGGTTGTGAGACTGTCAAGAGTGGAGGCAGGGAGACCAGTTAGTATGTTGTCTCCTCATCCAAGGGAGCTGTGTGATCCAGGAAGACCGGGGGCCATGCTTTTGCACAGCTTCATCTAGGGCTCCGGTGCCAGTGTGGTGAGGTTGTTGGCAGAACAGAGCTGAGAGGAGAGTCATGCAGTCCTGTCTCTTAAGGAGATACAGTAGGAAGCAGCCTCATGATTGAAATGTATAGACCTTCTATTTAAACTGTAGAAGTCCCTTTAGTCGAATTTCTTTTCCTTATTTTCCCCAGTCTTCGTTTTACAGTCTAGTTTTTAGAGATTTTTTTTTCATATTCTAGGGCTTTTTCATCATTTAAAGATTTTTTTCCCCGCACTTTTACCTGAGTAATGAAAGTGAAGTGGTGCTTGTCCAGTATCTTGTTTTTCACTCTTTAAAAGTTCCTTGAAGCTTAGAAACTTGCTTGTCTAATTTGGTGGTCTTTTTTGTTTTAATATTTCAAGAAATGTAGATTTGTTAATATTGGCTGTTTATCAAAAACCTTAAGTTTCTTGCACTATATTCTGGAGCCATATATCTTATAAAGTTTGTTTTTAATAATAGAACAGTTATATTGTGTCAGATTATTAGTCATCTCTTAACTACTAAATGTACTTAAACATTCAGTCAACTCTTAATTATATAGACTGTAAAAGGTGGGGAATGGGTGTGGAAAGGGTCCATTATGGAGGAATCCAAACCCTAGCTTAAGCAAAATTATTTAAAATGTAATTCATGGTGGATTTACTGTAAGCTTATTAACTTAAAATTGCAAATAAGTTGTCAGTAAAATACCTTAACGTATTGATGTACTCATCATGTATTAATGAACATGAAACATAAATTACTTAATTTTTTAAAATGACAAATGTTTTCTGTTTAAAAATCCCTGTTTCATTGACTCTTCTTAACAGTTTCCTTTCCTCCAACCCCCATCTTCTAATGTTAGAGTGGGACTAAATTGCGGCTAGAAACATAGTCCTGACTTTATATCCCTCCCATCCCCCTCACATAATTAACTCTGCCTACATTGCTTTGTCTCTGAAGGGATAGAAGCTACTACCCATATGTGTCACTGCTTCCTTCCTACTGTTTTATGTGGTGACGCAAAGTGATTCATGGGTAGATCTTAACCTATTAAGCTACAATGAGCTGAATAGTATAAAGTTTCATGAAGCTTTTCCATCTCAATTTTTTGAGACTAACAAATGGAGGACAACTCAGTCATAAAATCAGAATGGCAATTGATATTTAGGTAATGAATCAGTCAGAAGAAAAAAAAGTGACTTTCAGTGCATTTAATCTACAGTAAAGCAAAATCCAAACAGCAGTGGGGATGGAGAGCTTGTAAAGTTTAAAACAAGTGGCTGTGAGGTCTGAAATGCCAATTTGATAATATCCATTGTACATAAATGTGTAGGAATGAAGAATTTATTTTCTTAAACGTAAGTTATAAGGGCTTTCCTAAGGTGGTACTTTGACCATATAATTACATTTTGATCTTTCATCTTAAGGAAATAATCAGGAATATGGTCCAAGATTTCTGGTGTTCATTTCAGCATTGTTTATAATAGCAAAGAATTAGAGAAACCCAATCCTAACCCACAGTTTCCTTAACTGTAATAATAAAGGAAACTTAACCCAACTCATTTTATACCAGAATTGAAAATGAATAGTAAAAGTAAAGTTTATATCAATCTTACTCATAAAAACAAATGCAAAAATTATAAATGAAAAAGCTTGAATTATAAAAACAAAACCACAAAATCATGACTAGGTAAGGTTTATTGCAGGAATGCTAGTGTGATTCACCTACAGGAAGTCCATTAATGTAAGATACTCTGTATTCATATTTATGAACACTCTGATCTTGGTGGATCTAGAAAGAGCTTTCTATAAAATTCAGTATTCATGTTAACAAATTAGAAATAGGAATTTTCTTAACTTGATAAAGCAATACTTCCAAAAATGTTAACACTTATTCTTGAAACTTTAGAGAGAAATACATCAAATTGTTAATAGTGATTATTTATGGATTACCTAAAAAAAGAAATGTCCTGTAATTTTTCCGTAATATTTATCTATGAAAGTATGTTTTACTTTTGCAGTCATCATAATCAAATTTTTTTTTATGGTTTGTTTTACTTTATTATATTTTTAATAATTTTTTAAAATTTATTTTTATTTATTTTTTGGCTGTGTTGGGTCTTTGTTGCCATGCGCGGGATTTCTCTAGTTGTGGCGAGCCGGGGCTGCTCTTCGGCGCAGTGTGTGGGCTTCTCATTGCGGTGGCTTCTCTTGTTGCGGAGCACGGGCTCTAGGCATGCGGGCTTCAGTTGTTGTGGTTCACGGGCTTAGTTGCTCCGTGGCATGTGGGATCTTCCCGGACCAGGGTTCGAACCTGTGTCCCTAGCATTGGCAGGCGGATTCTTAACCACTGCACCAG